AAGTATGTTTTGTGAGTATTTTTTTTTTTTAACTCTTTCGGTTCGGATAAATAATCTCTTTTCTTTCGCAGTATTTAACGAGGGCGCGCATAAAGCAGCAGCCAGTAACGCAACAGACGCGCAAATGCAGCAGTCTTTGAGGAAAAAGTTTGGAAATTTGGCAATAACGAGGATTTATTCAAAGCAAAACAGTGACAGGTACAGTGGTAGAGTGGTATCAAGGAGTCAGTGGTCAAGGAGCAATAATCATCAGTGGTATCAAGGAGCAATAAGTATAGAAAAACAGGTAAGAATTCATATAACCTTGTAAGTTTGGGTTATAACTTCTCCAGCTTCGTTTTCGAAACTGAAAGTGATGGGAATGTTCTTTTCCTTTTCTCGTTCTGTGAGGATTTTCTCTATTTCTTCTCCGTTCATGACTGCTTCGATTCTTTGTTTGTAGTTCTTCCCAGGTTTGGTGCAATTGGAGGTTGTGTGTCTCCTTTCTCTGCAGTTCTTGCATCGGACATCTTTTAGTTTCTTGGTTTCCGTTGATTCAGTCTCTGTTAATACTAGAAACTCTTCTAGTTCGTTAACCACGTTGTTGAGTCCCGAATTAGTAGGTAATTCTAACTTGGAGACATCGTCTTCGACTAACTTGGTTCTCTCTTGATCTTCAGTTTTCTTGGTGTCTTCCACTTCTTTTGATTCGAAGGTCTTGTTTTCTTCCAGCTTGTAGGCACCGTTTTCTTCTACTTGGACTTGGAGGCATTGAAGATTGGTTCCAAAATCCATCTTCCAATTATTCTCCGGATTATATTCCTCCTCTTTAATCATCTCACACCAGGTAAGATTATTCTCTTCTGCTTTCTTTGCTATTGTTAAAGCTTTTCTTGCTGCTTCTATTTTCGCCTCTTCTGATTTCTCCTTTATTCTTCGCAGATGGTGTTTGATTTCATAAAAATTGGTCTTCTCTTGAAGTTCAAGTTCCAGCTCCATTTCGTCCCAGATGGGGACTTCCATCTCCATGACATCCTCGTCCACTCGTTCGGCCTTTCTGATTCTTAATTCTTTTAGTTTTTCCTTCATTTCGTCTATTTTTGGTTTTAGCACTTCACTTCTTCTTTTCCTTGCTTCTTCCTCTTTTAACACTGCAAACTTCTCTCTTTTCCTTTTCTCCTCCTTTTCCATTTCTTCCCTGGTGAGGGTCCTGTTCCACTTAAACTGGTTTATCTTCTGAGTTTTTGTGGACTTCTCTTCCGCAGGCCTTCCCCGCTTGGCCTTCAGGCCTCTCGCCTTGATCTCTTCTATCTCCAGTAGAGAGAAGTTCCTTTTTAAAGGCGAGATAGGAGCCCTTACTTTTGGAATTTTGTAAGTCTCCATATTTTTTACTTGAACACACTTTACTTGCAGTCACAACACACACTCTTAAGCACAGCACACACACTCACAGACACTCCACTGTCACTTGCAAACACTTCTGAACACTGCACTTGTTCTTCAGAACTCTCCAAAAACTTTTCTTCTCGATGCACTTGACTCAGGGAATAGATTTGGCTTGCTGCTTCACGTACGTCTGCTCTCTACGGCTTTCAGCTCACAAGTGACGCTCAGGCCCTTGTCTGTTCACCCGGTGCATTGTTGTATTGTTGCCGACGTTCAAATTTTCGGCGCCGTTTTACTGGCTGTGATTCCGTCCGTCGTGTATAGTGCGTCGCCCGCAACCTTGCTTCGGCGATCGTCTTTTGTTTTCACGCAAAGGTTAGCCAGGCCGCCGATACACTATACTCCCGCTCGTATTCTGGAGCGAAAGCGGCTAGCCTATCAATGTGGATGATTTGTTTACGTCCAGTTTGATCGTCTCTGATCCTGGCGTTACAATCATTGATTATTTTCAGGATCGTATATGGTCCAACCCAAGGTGAGTTGAGTTTTGGCGAGATGCCTTTTCTTCTGTCTGGTTTATAGAGGAAAACTTTGTCTCCCTCTTTGAAAGGCGAAATCAGCGCCGTTCTATCATAGTAGAGTTTCATTCCTTTTGCTGCTTTGTTTTGCATTTCTCTCACTAGTTGATGAATTTTATCCAGAGTCTCATGAACCCAGTACGGATAATCATCTTTTAACCTCTTTGACACTGGAGGTGCTCCGGTTTCCATCATAAGTGGGGTTCTCATTGGAGATCCGAACATAACCTCATACGGTGAAAAGCCAGTGGAACTGTGAGGTAAACTTCTGTATGCTTGCATCACAAAAGGTAAATAATCTGGCCAACTTGCTTGATCATCATTGACCAGCATTGCCAAATGTTCCTTTAATACTCTTATCCATCTTTCTGCTTTGCCATTTGCAGCTGGATGTCTTGCTGATATTTTATATTTCTTTATGTTATACAGGTTCATTACTTCTTGGAGTAACTCTGATGGGAAGTTTGTTCCTTGGTCTGTTAGTATTGCCAAAGGAGACCCATAAACTGAAAACACATTTGAAATCAGTGCTTTGGCTGTTTCTTCTGCAGTTTGTGTTTTTAGTGGTACTGCAACGGGCCATCCAGACATGGACTCAATTGCGACCAAAGCATATTTATATCCAGCAACGCTTTTTGGGAATGGTCCGCAGAGATCTACATGCCATCTCCCATGCAGGACTCCATCTTTGAAGATTTTCATGGGTTGTTTTGCAACCAACTTGGGTCCTTTAAATCTTGCACAAGTGTTACATCTTGTCATGAATTTTGAAATGTCAAAATGCATTCCAGGCCACCAAAAGAATCTTTGAAGGTGAGCCGTGGTTTTTCTTATTCCAAAATAATTGACTTCTCCGAGTTGTTCGTGATAATACTTGATTGTATTTATCACATGTTTTTCTGGGAGTATTAATTGCAACTGTTCTTTTTCAGGAATATCATTTGGGTCTTCAAATCTTCTGTAGAGAACTCCGTTTCTAATCACTAGTGACTTGAATTGATGCCACAGTGATCTGGTTTTGTTACTACAACCAGAAATCTCTTGGAAATGTGGTTTTTCTCCTTCCACTGCTGTGAAGATTTGGGTGATTTCTGGGTCTGTCATTTGATCATTTCTCATTTGTTCTGGTTCCACTCCATCAGGTACTATTGTAGTCCAGAAAACTTTTATATTGTTTTCATCAGGATATATTCTTCTCAAATTTTCAATTTTAAATTGCAGGCATCTTTTGCAATCTTCTTTACAATGTTGAACATGAAGGTGATACATGTAAATTGTCATTTCACTTTTGCCAGAGATCTCAGTGATGAAATCAATAAGTTTGTCATAGTCCAGTTGGTCTCTACCACAAGAGAATTCAGGTAAACACCACTCTTTGATTTTGAAGAAATCTAACCATCTCTTTAGGTCTTCTAAAGATCTTTTTACTTCCATTGGTGTTGGCTTGTCGAAATATCTTTTCTTGGTTATGACATTAATGATTGTTCTTTTATCTCTTTTGACAGCTACTAGATGACAATTTCCTCTTGACTCTTTATATTTTTGTACCTTCTCTCTGAATTCCTTTTTGACGGAATAGACTTCCTCAATTTGTTTGGCTAGTCCAGCCCCAAATTCTCCATCTTCACTTACTGCATGGATAATGGGTAAGTCTGGTGGGCTGTCCATCAAGGATCCAATTTTATGTATCAAATGGAAATTTTCAATATCCACTCTGTTGATACTAATTCTTTCTCTTTCTTCTAGTCTGGAGCACTTCTTGCAGTCTTCTTGACAAGGCCTGTTTGGCCTACGGCTTAAAGCATCTGCATGTCCTATAGCAGAGCCTTTCACGTGAACAACCGCCAGGTTGTTAAACGTTTTTGTCTGTCACCTTAGAGAGATTCAACTTCTTTTCCTAAAGTTTTTAAATACTTTAAGAGAAGATTTTTTTATTAGGACTTTGCTCCCTTTCTATCGTGATAGCACACTTCCGAAAGAATCAGTGGTACATTTACTATAGAATGGGAAAATTCTTCGCTTGCTTTTTAGTGAGAGCACACTTCCAGATTGCTCTAGTGGTACATCTACTAAAAAGAAAACTGCTTGAACAGGTAAGACGGTGGTAGGACTTTGGTCCGTTCTATTGAGAGCACACTTCCGAAACGAGTTCAGTGGTCCATCTACTATAGAACGAAAATCTTTGT